GCCACTGACCATCCGCGATTGAGCCCTACCAAGCGCTCCATCTCGAACCGCTCCAGATCCTTGCAGTTCCGGAGCTCCGAGATCACAAGAGGCGCAAGGCCGGGCTCCACCACGAGCTGAAGCAGGCCATTGATGTCGATCTCCACCATTCCCATTCTGCCATTTACGCACCGAACGAAATGCAGCAGCTTCAACGCGAGCGGATTGAGGGGCGTGGCATTGCTCTGCCCGGAGATGATTGTCGGCGGCGCGGCAAGACTCACTCCAGGGTGGCTCTCTATATGCTCACTCTTGTCAGCTGCAGGTGTTCCAGGCGGCGGTTGATGCTCATTTTCAGGAGCCCCCTCGTTCACAGCCGAGGGTGTTACGCCTTCGTCAGCTTCATGCACGCGAGGAGGACCATTCACACCGTTCGTGTTGGATGCGTTAGATGCGGTAGGGGAAGCGGGAGCAGCGGGAGCGTCCGACAGAATGTCGTGGACGAATAGCAGTGCGTGTAGACCGGCGGATGGTGCAGATCGCGAGGGCCTTGCCACGGCGGAAAGGCCTTGACAAGGGGTCCGCCGTGACTTATGACCGCCATAAACTTGGGCGTTGGGGAACCATCTGTTGCAGAACTTGCATACAACGCCTGGCAAAGAACCCATGTATTCAAGGTCTGTCTAAGAGTGGAGAAATGCAGTGTGATGCTACTAGCCAGTTTGAAGCTTGTAAACGCATTTACTACACGGTCAATGCCAGGCTCTGTCTCCAGCACGGTCATTGCCACAGCGCGAACTGTCCACGGCGGCTTGGATCTCTGCACGCCTGGCACTTGATCGTGGTGCACTTGTTAGGGATTGGCTAACGATGGTCGCGCAGCGCGGCCGTGACAAGGCTAGATACAGACCGCCGACAGCACGGCATATCCCTTTCCTACAAGGCGTGTCGCCCCCTGTTAGGGTGACCACGACGTGAGCACGACCTTATGCAGTGGAGTATGGCAAGCTTGGTCGCGAGCGTGCGTCACGAGCACGGTGAGAAGTACGTGCCTCTTGATTCAAAACTTGAATCGTGTGTGAGAGTCGAGGTGGGAGAGGAAGAGAGGGAGGAGATCTATTTGGTGCTGTGATTCTTTCGAGAGTCGCTATAGGGGGGAAAACGCGATCACGTAGGTGTGCCCAAAGTGGTGCGCACCTCCATAGCCTTAATCCAAACCAGGTAATGACCATGCACAGTTACATTTTACATATACCATCATGTCACTCATAAAGATTTTAGTACCATACTTTACAGCTTGCTCATAACCAACCCCTTATTGACAACGACAGTATTTAGAAACAGCACCATTGATGTGGTCTGATACCATACGGAAAGCAACACCATTCCACAACGGTTTCACCATGTCGCGCAATGGGCATGCACGCTGCAACGTCGCCCCGTCGAGCCAGCGATGTCGATAACACATCGCCGCTTGTGCGTTGGTCCTGCGCTTCATACCACTCCTTCTACGCACCTTGTTGAATGTCCGTGCAAGTATGGAGCCCAATCCAACACCGTACCATAACGGAATCACCATGTCGCGCAACACTGTGGCCTGAACGCTGCAACGTCGCACTGTCTAAACATGGCTGTCGATAGCGCATCGCCGTTTGTGAGTTGGGCCTGCGCTTCATACCACACCTTCTAAGCACCTTGTTGAATGTCCGTGCAAGTATGGAGCCCAATCCAACACCGTACCACAACGGATTCACCATGTCGCGCAACACTGTGGCCTGAACGCTGCAACGTCGCACTGTCTAAACATGGCTGTCGATAACGCATCGCCGCTTGTGCGTTGGGCCTGCGCTTCATACCACTCCTTCTAAGCACCTTGTTGAATGTCCGTGCAAGTATGGAGCCCAATCCAACACCGTACCACAACGGATTCACCATGTCGCGCAACACTGTGGCCTGAACGCTGCAACGTCGCACTGTCTAAACATGGCTGTCGATAACGCATCGCCGCTTGTGCGTTGGGCCTGCGCTTCATACCACTCCTTCTAAGCACCTTGTTGAATGTCCGTGCAAGTTTGGAGCCCAATCCAACACCGTACCACAACGGATTCACCATGTCGCGCAACACTGTGGCCTGAACGCTGCAACGTTGCACTCTCTAAACATGGCTGTCGATAGCGCATCGCCGTTTGTGAGTTGGGCCTGCGCTTCATACCACACCTTCTAAGCACCTTGTTGAATGTCCGTGCAAGTATGGAGCCCAATCCAACACCGTACCACAACGGATTCACCATGTCGCGCAACACTGTGGCCTGAACGCTGCAACGTCGCACTGTCTAAACATGGCTGTCGATAACGCATCGCCGCTTGTGCGTTGGGCCTGCGCTTCATACCACTCCTTCTAAGCACCTTGTTGAATGTCCGTGCAAGTATGGAGCCCAATCCAACACCGTACCACAACGGATTCACCATGTCGCGCAACACTGTGGCCTGAACGCTGCAACGTCGCACTGTCTAAACATGGCTGTCGATAACGCATCGCCGCTTGTGCGTTGGGCCTGCGCTTCATACCACTCCTTCTAAGCACCTTGTTGAATGTCCGTGCAAGTATGGATGACAATCCGGAACCATACCACAACTGGTTCTCGTTTGGCACTATTGAACGTCGTGTTAGAATATTGTCCGCTGGCGCGTATCCCTTGTGGCAAAGCCGAAAAGTACGCAGTACAATTGTCAGAAGTAATACTTCTGGACGCTGTTTGTGTGTGTCATGAGACAAACCCACTACCTTACCACAACCCCATTCTAAACCATTAGCAACAAAGGTTTTGACGATTTTATTTGTTGTATTAAAAGTATTTTATTTAGCTCCTATGTGCAACACCGTGCGTTCGCGACAGCACTGTACTCTGCAGGGATTAGGTTACATTCGCACTTTTGGTTGCCCAACCATTCTACCAGGTGTAGTGATTGATGCGTTGGAAACAGTGATTGGCTGACGCATCTCAAACAATTCCCCCCGCAACACAAGCACCATCCAAGAGGTACTTCCGCCATTGAGCGGCTCAGATCGAGCGGTAGGTGGGTTTCTGCTCAGATGGCTACACGTACACCGTCCGATATAGCCTGATAGGGTTATAGTAATCTCTCTAGTCTCGCAACCCACCCCAACCACCCTCGTGCCCCACCCACCTGCTTCCGTCACCTTCTGCGCCAACACTTTGACGCTGCTCGCTGTTTGACACAGGCGTTTCCAGATCGCCCGTGACTCACCAATATACTAAGTCATGGGCCGTAGCTCTGTGCTTAGTGGCTACTATTTCAGGTTTTCGGAGAAAGATAACAGAGATAGACCGACGATTATCCCTTCGTGGGATTCAGTTGCTGTGCCCCTTCGAAACCGGCTCAACCGTTCCGCGTGGTAGAAATTTGCATTCCTACAACAACCATGTGTCAGAATGTTATTCTCTAGCCTGTAGTGGGGTGCTCTATAGCGAGTACAACCCATCTAGGGTTTGCTATATGTATCCTCATTCCTGCTAGTGAACCCCCTCTTTGCCTAAACTTTCTCTTGCCTAGCTAGGGTTCTCCTAGCTATGGCTCCTAACTATAGCTATTATCCTCACATGGTAACAGAGCGGTTACGCTCCTACACTGTGGGCCCACCAGTTCACTGCTTCCGCTGCTACTGCTACTCCCTGTCCGCCGCGCGCCTCGTGGTACGCGGCGTTGAAATTAGGGTTTTCAGCCCGCCGTGCGCCCCGAGGCGCGCGGCGGTTTTCTGCCCGCCGTGCGCCCCGAGGCGTGCGGCGGTTCTCTGCCCCGTCACACCGCGCGTTGCTCCCGGGAGGCGCTGCGACGGGCGACGGGGACCCGCGCGTCGCCCCCCGTCGCCCGTCGTGGCCTGCGCGCGGCCCGTACAGCCGGCGCGCGGCCCGTACGGGCTGCGCCAGGCCCGCGCGCGGCCCGTACGGGCTGCGCCAGGCTCGCGCGCGGCTCGGGCCGCCTGCGCGCGGTTCGGGAGGCTGTGCCAGACCCGTGGGCGGCCCGTTCTTCGCTGCCCCTGTCCTCCCCACTGTCCCCTCGTGCTTCTGAAGGCGCCCCACCCCTCCTTCTGCCCGTACTCCTGGATTAGGGTTTGGGGGTGGGGGGTATGGGGGTGCAGCTTCTGTGTGCCGTTCCCTGCTCCTCCTCCTCCTCCGTCTCCCTGTGCTGCAGCTGCCGCTGAGGGGGGTGGACCTGTTGGAGCCGTCGGAGTGGTACTAAGGGGGGGGTGAAGGGGGGGTGAAGCTAGCGGTGTAGCAGCGGGTGTGTGTCAGGGGGAGTGGGATAGTTTGGGGAGGTTGAAGGGGGTGGCCGCCGTGAAGCCAGCAGCTCCAGTCGCCCGTGAGACCGTTGCGCCAGTCGCCCGTGAGCCCGTTGCGCCAGTCGCCCGTGAGCCCGTTGCTCCAGTCGCCCGTGAGTCCGTTGCTCGTCTGCCGCTACTTTCAGCCGCGGAGCCAGTTACTCCAGTAGCCCGTGTGCCAGTTGCTCCAGTTGCCAGTGTGCCAGTTGCTCCAGTTGCCCGTGTGCCAGTTGCTCCAGTTGCGCCGTGTGCCAGCAGCTTCAGCTGCCGCCCACTACCTCCTCTCCTCTCATAGTCTCTTTCCTCCTCCTCACTTGCCCGTTGTGACTACCACTAGCTTTGCTCATAATTGTGATCTTTAAACTATTGCTTCTTGAACTTGTGCTCAGAATGTGTGGTGACATTGTGATCCACCCTGAGCTTGTACTGCTTTGCTTGCTCTGCTGATTACACCCCACTTTGGCTATGGGGGTGTGTCAGAATGTTATTCTCTAGCCTGTAGTGGGGTGCTCTATAGCGAGTACAACCCATCTAGGGTTTGCTATATGTATCCTCATTCCTGCTAGTGAACCCTCTCTTTGCCTAAACTTTCTCTTGCCTAGCTAGGGTTCTCCTAGCTATGGCTCCTAACTATAGCTATTATCCTCACACCATGACACGTGCAACACGTCAACAAGCAATGGAGGAGGAACAGGCCGGACGCCGCGCGACAAGGAGGCTGTCTTTGCAGACCGATAGGGAGGGTGGTGGCGACGCTAAAAAAACTAATGTGTCCGGCGCGTGTGGCATTGGGCTGAAAAAAGTGGCAGCAAACAAGGTCGCGCGCGGTCAAGAGAAGTCCGTCAAGAAGGCGGCAGACAAGGGGAAGCAACCAACGCCATGCAAGCGTGTTTCTACAGTGAACAAAGATGCGGATGTTGCCTCTGCTGGAACCGAGCCCGGTCCGACTAACGACGGCACCAGTGGCGGCAAAGAAGATCCGGGGCGAGGGAGCGTGAGTCTTGCAGTCCCGTCGGCGGAGAGAGAGGGATCGGCGACAGGGAGAAACCACAGAGACGATCCCCGCGCCGAGCATGCTGCAACCAAGGAGTCCGAGGCGGAGGCATCGCAACACCAAGTGACGCTGCTCCAGCCGAGCGTGGTCGAAATTTGTGCTGCCGTGCTGGATAAGAACAAGGTGGGGGAGCACGAGTCGATGGAGGATCCTAAACACAGCATCGCCGGCGTCGGTGGCTCTCCTCCTTCTGGTGGACGGGGGAGGCGTAGGCAGAGGAAGAGCGATGGGGAGGACGATTATGACACCGCCGTGCCCGGGGACATCACCACGCAGGCGAAGAGGCGGCAGACGACAGGCAGTGCTGACGACGCCGGTGGCGAGGAAGTTGGGACAACGCGAGGCGCCAGGGAAGCAAGTGGCAAGGCGACGGGTCATGCATTGCGCCAGAAGGGCCGACCCGCAGCAAGAAAAACATCCGGCGGAAGGAGGGGCAAGAAAGCAGCGATGGGGACGAGGCCGAAACGGGGCGATGAAGACCCTGGTGATGCGGAGGAGGAGGATGATGAGGAGGAGGATGCGGGGGAAGAGGAGGATGAAGAGGATGCGGAGGAGGAGGACGCGGATGTTGGGGAGGATGAAAAAGATGAGAATGATGGCGAGGAGGACGAGGAGGAGGAGGAGGAGGAGGAGGAGGAGGAGGAGGAGGAGGAGGAGGAGGAGGAGGAGGAGGAGGAGGAGGAGGAGGAGGAGGAGGAGGAGGAGAAGGAGGAGGGGGGCGACGAGGAGCAGGAGGAGGAGGAGGAGGAGGAGGAGGAGGAGGAGGAGGAGGAGGAGGAGAGGAGGAGGAGGAGGAGGAGGAGGAGGAGGAGGAGAAGGAGGAGGAGGAGGAGGAGGAGGAGGAGGAGGAGGAGGAGGAGGAGGAGGAGGAGGAGGAGGAGGAGGAGGGGGACGACGAGGAGGAGGATGAGGAGGATGAGGAGGAGGAGGAGGAGGAGGAGGAGGAGGAGGAGGAGGAGAAGGAGGAGGAGGAGGAGGACGAGGAGGAGGAGGAGGAGGAGGAAGAGGAGGAGGAGGAGGAGGAGGAGGAGGAGGAGGAGGAGAGGAGGAGGAGGAGGAGGAGGAGGAGGAGGAGGAGGAGGAGGAGGAGGAGGAGGAGGAAGAGGAGGAGGAGGAGGAGGAGGAGGAGGAGGAGGAGGAGGAGGAGGAGGAGGAGGAGGAGGAGGAGGAGGAGGAGGAGGTGGAGGAGGAGGAGGAGGATGTGGCGGTAGTGAAGGGAAGGGGCGGGCGAGGCGGACGGGTGAGTGGTACAGGGAAGTTGGGGGCCGGACTCTCCATTCCCGAAAACGCGGGGCAGTTGACGCCGCGCGCGGCGAAGCAGCGGGCAAACCGAAGGCACGTAAGGTGAAGGTCGAAAGTAAAGGGGGTGGTAAAAAGCAAGGGAGCCAGGGAGCAAAAGGGGATGGAGAAGGAAAGGGTGGCCGAGCCAAAGGGGTTCCAGTGGGTACCGGCAAGAAAGAACCTACCGGTAAACATCGCAGTGACCGCCAAAGCACCCCGCGGAAAGGTGGCAACGAGAAGGCGCAGACAGCAAAAAAACCGAAGGGACAACAGAAAGGTGAGCACTGTGGCTAATACACCTGGCGTGGTTGTTGTACTCTCTGCTCAACCGTGCCAAATAACACCATCCTTCACATTGTTTCTCCCCTACAGGGAAGGGGAAGGTCGACGAATCTGCAAAGCAAGGTAAAGCCTCTTGTGTCAAAACAGTACAACCCTAAACCCGATTTAGATTCAAACCGTTGATCTTATGCATGCATGTCTGCCCCTGCATTGAAACGAATCGACTCTAATTTTGTGATCCTGCTCCCTCTTGATCTCAGCCCCTCGCGTTACAGGCATTGGGCCACCGATAAGCGTACAACGGATGCAGCTAACGAAGGGGGGCGGAAGAGCGAGTGTTACACCGCTATCCACAGGAGCCCCAAGGTTCTACACGCCATACACCGGCCCGAGCAAAGTCGCTGCGACTGCACCCGGCGCGCCAAGAGGAGAGGAATCCGAATCCCCTCCACCAGGACACGTCACGCACTCCCCGCTCGCCTCACCCTCATACCCATTTCGGCAACTCCACGATTCTCCTGTCCGGGGCAGGGCGGTCTCCCCCTCGCCGGTCCTTCACGCGGGTATCAGCCAAGCACTTCTGCCAATCCCTTCCCTGAGCTCCCCTTTTCCCGCCAACGTAATAGTGTGAGGGCACACTGGACTGCTGCAGAAGACGTTGATCCCCTTGGCCAGAGGGGGGATTCTTCACACCCTTTTCCTCCGCTCATGGGTGCCCTAGGTGAAAGTGCGGAGCACGAGCAGTTTGTTACACGGGAGGAGTTCCAGGCGCTACGTTCTGAAATGTACGCCATGTTTGCACAGCTCGGCCTGCGTCGTGGAGTACCAGCCAGTTATGCCGGCGGTTTCGCAGCCGTGCCATGGCTGGTACCCTGCCGCCGATGAGTGCCGTGGACAAGGCACGAGTGCTAGTGTTCCAGGAGACAAACCCATTCCCGGTATGTGGCGGGCCAAATGGGGCAGGTTGGGGTTGACGTGGCAACCAGGGCGGGGTTGGGGCTGACGTGGCGGTTTCGAAGGGTACACGGGAGCGGCGCGTGACGAGGCGACGCGTGTCAGGTGGGTGGGGGGTGCCCCGGCATGGGGTGGGTGGGTGTGACGTGGCAAGTGGGGCGGGTTGTTGGTGGACGTGGCGGATGCAGGAGGGTATGACGTGGCAACCAGGGCGGGGTTGGGGATGAAGTGGCGGTTTGAAAGGGTACAAGGGAGCGGCGCATGACGACACGAGGCGTTTCAGGTGGGTGGGGGGTGACGTGGCTCTTGGTGGGGGGTGTGTGACGTGGCAAGTGGGGTGGGTTGTTGGTGGACGTGGCAGATGCAGGAGGGCGTGACGTGGCAACCAGGGCGGGGTTGGGGATGAAGTGGCGGTTTGAAAGGGTACAAGGGAGCGGCGCATGACGACACGAGGCGTTTCAGGTGGGTGGGGGGTGACGTGGCTCTTGGTGGGGGGGTGTGTGACGTGGCAAGTGGGGCGGGTTGTTGGTGGACATGGCGGATGTAGGAGGGTATGACTTGGCAACCAGGGCGGGGTTGCGGATGACGTGGCGGTTTGAAGGGGTACACTGGAGCGGCTGATGACGAGGCGAGGCGTTACAGGTGGGTGGGGGGTGACGTGGCTCTTGGTGGGGGGGTGCGACGTGGTAAGTGGGGCGGGTTGTTGGTGGACGTGGCGGATGCAGGAGGGTATGACGTGGCAACCAGGGCGGGGGTTGGGGATGAAGTGGCGGTTGGAAAGGGTACAAGGGAGTGGCGCATGACGACACGAGGCGTTTCAGGTGGGTGGGGGGTGACGTGGCTCTTGGTGGGGGGGTGTGTGACGTGGCAAGTGGGGCGGGTTGTTGGTGGACATGGCGGATGCAGGAGGGTATGACGTGGCAACCAGGGCGGGGTTGCGGATGACGTGGCGGTTTGAAGGGGTACACTGGAGCGGCTGATGACGAGGTGAGGCGTTTCAGGTGGGTGGGGGGTGACGTGGCGCGTGGTGGGGGGGGTGTGACGTGGCAAGTGGGGCGGGTTGTTGGTGGACGTGGCGGATGCAGGAGGGTATGACGTGGCAACCAGGGCGGGGTTGGGGATGAAGTGGCGGTTTGAAGGGGTACAAGGGAGCGGCGCATGACGACACGAGGCGTTTCAGGTAGGTGGGGGGTGAATTGGCTCTTGGTGGGGGGTGTGACGTGGCGAGTGGGGTGGGTTGTTGGTGGACGTGGCGGATGCAGGAGGGTGTATTACGGCAAGTTCACACTGTGTTGCTAATCACCATCCTGTGGTCACCCGGACACAACCATAACTGCTGGTTTCTCTCATCCATGCTGTGTTGTATACCCTACACCCCTGCGCAGAACAAAGCCTACTTAGTGACCTCTCAGCTCATGTTCCTGAACCCGCCGGCGAAAATCCAGTACTACCCTGCACTGGAGGAAGTGTTCGAAGCATTCTCTATCCACTTGTCTGCAGAAGGGCTCGAGTCAATGAAGCTGCTGTGGTTGCACAATGACAAGTCAACCATGGGTGTCTTCAACCACCAGATGTCGTCAACAAGGTCAACAATCAACTCCACCCTCAGGCCAGCAACATACGCCGGCATGGGCCTCTCCGATTACGCCCATGTGGTGGATAGCCTGCCCACTGAGCTACACCCAAAGAAGTGGTTCAACGACGAGCAACTCCTGGCGGAGTACAGAGATGGTATGTGCGACTCGAACATACCATATGCCCCACCATATGCCAGTTGGCAGCAAAAAATAACCGTGCGGTGTTCCAAACCCTGACTCTCACCCCCCCACTTGATTTCTCTGCACCCCCTTTCCAGCCCATACCCTCCTTGCCAAAATGCAGAACTGTGGGCCCTCAACTGGCACTTTGACAAGGCAATCGGGACGCCCTTTAGCAACCCCTTGTTTGCTTATGCGTTCAAGCTCTCCTTCAAGAGGGGCGGGGTCGTGTTCACCAAGTTCAAGAGCCGCATGGTGGCATGGGGCCTGTTTTCGGTAAGGATGTAGATGTGTGTCTGTACACCCATGCCTCATCCCCTAAACACCTTGCCTGTGTTAACGGGAGTGGAGTGTTGGCCCCGCCCTCGCTTGGGCAACGCCGACGACTTGGTCGGATGTACGGGAGTAGCAGCCGACCGATCACTGTGGGAGAGCTGCTCGACAAGCGACGTCGAGCTGCAGGGGACCGCTGTGGTGTTGCTGTCGACCAGGGAGCTCGACAGCTGCAACTGACTGGCCTGGGCGACGGGTGGGCCATCCTGGAGGTCGATGGATCGGTCCGTCGACCTGCAGCTCGACCGGGAGGTCCGCGAAGCATCCCGTCGACCTGCAGCTCGACCGGGGTGTCGACGGAGCAGTTCTGGTCGACGGAAGGGGTCCGTCGACCATGGGGTAGCTCGACGGGAGCTGCGGTCGACCAGGAGCACCTTGCGGTCGACCAGAAGGAGTTGTGGTCGACCAGGGGGACCTGGTGGTCGACCGGAGCATCTGGTGGTCGACCGGAGGCACCTGGTGGTGTTCGGGTCGACCGGGTAACCTTCTCGACGAAGTTTTGCGGAGGCACGCGAACGTCGTCGAGGTCGCGATGGCGAAGGCGACTTCGGGATGGTATCCCGAAGTCGATGTGGCTCGTCAGGCGTTGACAACAGCCGACTGATGCACAGCAAGGCATGTCGGACCAATCGTCTGCGCGCACCTGCGAGCGTGCGCACTGCTGTCTTCTACAGGGCAACGCTGGACAGCCGCATTGCTGCAGCGTTGGCACGCCGTCGACCTGCAGTGTTGGCAGGTCGCTCTTCTGCAGTGCTGGCGCGGCTCCTCTACGCAACGCTGGCAGGCGGTCGACCATGCAGTGCTGGCGGTCGACCAGGCTAGCTGCAGAGTTGCTAGGTGCCTGATGTAGTCATTCTGTCATTGCTTGTTCAATGATTCTGTATTCTCAATCTTTGCTAGTGGAAACTCTTGCCAATTTCTCCCGTGAATGTGCAAGTGCTAAGGAACCAAGCAAAGCTACGATCACTCCTAGTAGTTCGTGCCAACCCCCGTAGTCTAGCTCACTACCGTTGTAGAGTTAATCTCCGCAGCCTGTACTTCATCTAAATCCCTGGTCGCTTAGGCGTTTGCGGTTACGTAGGGTGTGACGTATGAAATCACCGCTTTCAGTTGGCTCATATACCCGTAACCCCCCTTCATACACCATCCACCCAACCCTACACCACATTGCAGATCGAGTGGCCCCTTCTGCAGGATAAGCGTCGCAAGCGAATTCCGGCCCAGCCGGAACAAAACAGGCCGGACTACTTCGAGTGGTGTGAAAAGGTCAAGCAGATGATACACTTTGCCGTTGTGGAGCGGCGGATCCCACACGATCCGGCTTAGGGTGTGTTCGTCTTCCCGAACAAGTTCCTCATCGACGATGGCGACCTTGGAGATGTCGTCCTTGCCCAGCATTGCGTAGGCTATTTGACCTGGTGCTAAAACTGCTGGTTGTTAGAATGCTGAATAATGGTTGTTGTGAACCAAAAAAATTAATGTAATTTTGAAATGCCAAAAATTGAAAATGAACTAAACCAGAATGTAGATTTGAATTAAATGGTCCCGAATTTGCACCAAAATGGGTTGCGCCCGAAAGCCACCCTGAAAAGCTCGCGTGCCAAACCAGAACTCGTTCCGAGCCAAACATTGTCGCGAGATGTGTCTCGGAGCTCCTATCAAATGACTCCAACCGTCGGTGCAAATTCGATTCGACTTTTTTTACGCGAACTCAATCGAAATCAAAATTCGTCAAAATTCGCATAGGGTTTTTTGTGATGTGCGTAGTTTCTGACGCGTCGAAATTGAAGCAGCGATCGGCTCGAAGCGCGCCCGAAGCCCTGCGCACCACGCGTCCCACGTGCTGTATTGGGCAGTCACACAGAACGAACTACAGATTACGGCTAGGCCCGCGAGCGTCTCCTCTTGCGACAGCGGCTTGTAGGCACTTGGGGAGGCCACAATTACTTGCCACCAGTCCATGACGGG